TTCAAAACTCGCCACCAGAGTAGCAGAAGCTGGTTTCGAGATATCGTTCGACCCACCAGCTGACGGTAAATGCTTCTACTACGCCGCTTCTTCTCAAATCGGATTTAGTCCGTCAACATTGACTGCTGTCATGAGGGTCGGAAAAGGGGGGTGTCATGCATGGTTCACGGGAATTAAAATCGAAAATTCACGGTTCACGGGAATTAAAACAGACTTTTCACGAATCACGCACAATTCAGCGTTTGCTTTAATTTTTTCACCCAAGTACTACACAACTGACGTGTCGACCATTTTGAACTAAATTTACACTAATTCACAACTGTATGCCTTAGTCTACACAAACAGAACTGGTTACACTTCATTACTTGTAATTCTTTGGTGTTGTGCGTACGTGCAAGAACAATATCTTTTTCAGTATTGTCAAAGGTAATAATTGCCTTTGTGCAAGTCCAATTTGCGACTATCTTTTATTTAATAGAAAGAAACATAAAGTTAATTATTACCTAGGTATGAAAGACATGCAGCGTGACATTAATTGATGCAATGTCTGTAATTGTTAGGGACCTTAAGCAACCACGAGGGCGACAGCAACGAGGACGTGGAAAAACAAGAGATCTAATTGGCAGAACAATAGCTCAGCACGTGCGTGCGTTTTGAAACTTTGTACATTTCTTAGCCGTCCTATACAAAACAACAACATAAAATTGCCAAAATTTGCGTCGTCTGCGAACTGAAACCGCGACGGCAAATTATTTTAATTTCCATTTGGAACTCAACGCTACTTTTATACGTCATGCTGAAGTTGAGCTGTGGCGCCATATGAGACAGTAAGCTCCTGCAGCCATGTTTGAAACTCTAACTAAGAGTAGAAATTCATTTTTTAATCGGAGCCTTCCTTGGCGTTGCCGTCCTGACTGCTTAAGGTCCCTATGGAAAGATGACGAACCTTGCAGAACCATTCCTCGGTGACTGAACATGGGTCTTTCTTCATCCCACTGCGCCTGGGTATCAGTATTGCATAGGCCTTGACACCATCTGGTCCTTTCTCTAAGCGGCATAGTTTGATATCGACGCTGGACTCGAGGCCTCGTTTTTGAGCTTCCTCCCTGAGGCCTGCATGTTCTACCACATGCTTTACAAACGCTTGCAAGGAAGTAGTTACTAAAACAGGGAACGACCCACAACGATCTTCAAACGACCGGGAACGATCTCAAAACGACCTACAACGATCTCAAAACGATCTCAAAACGACCTACAACGATCCCACAACAAAAGAAACCCCTCAAGAAAAAACATCAAAAACTTAACTTTTGAAATAATTTCGAAAATTGAAAAGCATACTGAATAGCAAACATAACGACTGACAACTACCCAGCATACCTTTGATAGTCCGGTAACACATTCATAAGGTTGTTAAAAACAGGACAAAATAAATGAGCAAATGCAGCTTTTCACGAGAAAGAATCTCCATTCAGAGAAACGTTTGTAGGTCCGATCGACGTCTCTTCGGCCACAGGCAGCCCAAGTTAACTACCAGA